AAACCTCGTCGTCGACGTCGTTATCGAGCGTTATTTAGGGTTAATAGCGAGATTTAGGAAGTATAGTTAACGTAAGTATTCCTTAGCAGTAGAGTATCGAAGCCGACTATATATAATATACCCCTTTTAGACTATATCCGTCGCTTTACCGTCGAGTATAGTCTATACGTCGACTAGATAGAGATATATATAGACGAATTACTTATAATTTTATATTATTAGTACTTTCGTAAAGCCGTCTACTCTTATATTAGCGGTTACGATCTATTCTATACGTATTTTACTAGCTTATATCTTCTATCTTAACTAATACTTATATATATTAACGTATTTTAGCTTCGTAGATAGTTAAAAGTTATCCTTAGTTAGTAGACGAATAGTCTATATATTATTAGCTTTAATAGTAAGCGATTAGTTAAGTTTTAGGTATATCGAGTCGAAGAAGCGACTCTACTAGAGTACTTTCTTAGCTATACGAGATAGAGTAAGTAGTTCTATCTCTATACTTAAAGTTATTACTATATTCTATCGAGAGGCTTTCTAGTTAATAGAGCCTCCGAATAGTATAAAGAGATAGTCGTCGGAACTCTTCCGGCTAGTATTATTAGTAAATATAGCGTCTAAGTATATCTTAAAGATATTAACGCTATCGTATTTATTATTATTTTAAGGAGTTATTTTAGAAGGAGTAGAGTATTTAAGAGTAAGAGTACGTATACGCTTTAAGTAGCCTAGTACTCTATTAGCGATAGCTATATATTCTAGTAATAGATTACGTAAGTATTATAAGAGTATAGAGTAAGCCCTTACGATATCCGATCTCGTCGTTATAGCTACGAAATTAATAGACCCTATACGCTATTAATATACGTATATCTCTTATAGAGTAGCCTAGCTATTATACGATACGAGACTTTTAGTTAAAAGAGATATTAACGGTATCTTCCTACCGTACGTATTAATATTAAACTTAACTAATAGTTTATCGATATATAAATCCTATATAAGCTATAACTTACGTAGCTTTCGGTCTCGTACGATTCGTATACCGAGAAACTAGTTAACTTCTAGTATAATACGTAAAGTAAATCGCTCTTATAGACTCTATAGAATTATATTAACTCTCTCCTTAGACTTACGCTTATAATATAAAATAATATCGTCTACGTAGAATAGGACGATAAGAAACTTATTATTAAGTATATAATTAACTCCTAATACTTAAGAAAGACCTAGTATCTTAAGAGTATTACTAAGAGTATTATACTATAATAAAGGGCTTTACTTAAGACTATAGAGCGCCTTAAGTAGACGAAGTATTATATCTAGTACTTTAAAATCTTCTAGGAAACGTATATAGATTTTCTCGTCGATTTTACTATTAAGAAATACGTTAATAGTATTAAGCTATATAAGATCTAGGTCGTAAGCGGCCGTAATAGCTATAATAGTACAAAAGGTACTAAAAGTAAGAGTAGCCGTATAGATATCTTTAAAGATAAGTTATAAGTCTTCTCGTATATATATACGCGCCTTAAACTTACTTAAGTAGCCGTTATTATCGAATTTATATTTAAATATCTAGATAAGAGAAAGAATATTATATCTATTTATATCTTTAGTAGAGACTAGTACGAAGATTTACTTATACTTAAGTTTCTCGTATTTAACTCTCGCGACTTTCTTAAATTTCTTTCGAAATAGATAATTAGCGAGCTATTTCTATAATTTTAGCTTAGAAAGAAGAGTATTTCTATATACTCGTTAGAAATCTTTTCCGATAGTAAAGGCGGCGGCGAAGGTAGAGTAGTACGTTAATAGACCGTCGTTAATATTATTATCTTCGAGCGTAGCGATATACGTCTATTTTCTTAGTTTCGAACGTTATCTTATTATAACTATATTTTTCTTATCGAAATCTACTAAGATATTAGTATATCGAGAGGCTTAGATTATTTTATCTTAATCTAGAGACGCCTAGCGAGATAAGTCTTCTATAGTAGTCTTCTTAAATATATATATTTATAGTTCTTCTTTTTAAATTTCTTTTCTTCTTTCTTATTCTCTTATTAAGGGGAGACCGGCCTCCGCTAGAGACTAGTTCTTTACGATAAATAAAGAAGAAGAATTTAATAATATCGATAGAGGTTCGATACCGCTAGAGATACTCTCTCGTTTAGGCTCGCGTCTCTCTAAGAAGCCCTCTTAAGTAGAGGCGTTCTAGCGCGCGACTTAGGCGGTAGAGTCCTCTCGACTAGTAGCGCGGCGAGAGTCCTCGATACTTTCGGTTATAGATCGCGAGCCCCGTAAGCCTACGATTACTTCTATAGTAGCTATTAGCTCTATAGATATCGCTAGTTAAGAAGAAGAAGAAGAAGATTTAGGTATAGCGTTAGAAGTAAGATATATATCTATAGAATTATATATAGTTAGCGCTTTACGTAATTTAGCTTTCTTAGCCTCTAATTAGCTAGAAATTAACGTCGTCTAAGGCTCCTAAGCTTCTAATTAGTCGGAAGTAGTTTCCGAATAATTCGGCGCTAAGTCGTTTTTAGAATTAATTAGAATTATATCTATTTTAGGTATCGACTCGTATACTTTAATATCTAGCTAAATCGACTTAATCGATAGTAACTTATTATCTTTATATAGAAGTAGTAAAAATATCTCGTTATCGTTAAAAATAACGTCTCGTACTCGTATAATCTAGCCTTTATCGGATCGCTAGATTCGAAAGATATTTATTAAATCGTACTCGACGAGATACCTAATCTATACGTATTATTAAAGTTTATCTTTTTAT